GAGTCTAGAGTCTAGTTTAGACAGCATAAGAGATTTAATATAATATGAGTTGCAGCAGAGAGCCAACCAGTGCTTCATCTGCTAGTTGCCAAATTTTCAGACAGTTTGTCACCTCACATTGCTGTGTCTTTGGGACTTTTAGTGTTAAAAGATAAAACCGGTGTCATTTCAACATTTAGAGTTATTTCATATTTATATTCAACAAATCATTTTGCAGTGCATGAAGTGTGTAATTAGATTTTTTTTTTATAATCTACTTGTTTATGTTGCGCGGAGTCAAACCTAGATTAACTGCTGTCCCCGCTAACAAGGATGCTCTAAATATAGAGACCTGCATGTGACAATAAAATATGTGAGGTGACAAGATTTTGAGGGATTATTTATCGGGGGAGAGTTATATCTTCTTGTGGATGGATGGATGGATGATTGACAGTAAACAGTGTAATGCAACCTAGGCACAGTAAAAAAAACAATTAACAGAAACTGATTGCACCCTGGTGCCCTGCTGTATATAATGTAATGATGCAACAGTGACGTCCTGGGTTTGAGTCTGACCAAGAAAATTTATCATATTTAAAGGACAGTTCAGGTTTATTAGGGCCCGAGCGCACTGGAGGGTGTTAGGACCCTATTGAAATTGCTCTGTTTTTATAGTTTTGATCTTTACTTTTTGCCAAAGGAACTGCTGTGTGGAAATGTGGAAAATACAGCAACATTACTTCTCTCTTGACAGGGTAAAAAACTTGTTGTTGAATGCACATTGTATCAAGGCAGAATTCAAGCCTAATGATCTAAACCATCAGGAGGTAAAGCCAAAAGTGAGTGCAGCCACAGTGTTCGTAATAAGCTAATGCCTCACTGCATGGGAAAACTGTACGAGTGCACTAATGGTAAGTGTAGGTCAAAGTTGAACCAGGAAAGTCTGTTAACTATGATGGATAATTAGGAGAGGGCATAGTTTGCATGAGGCAGTGCACAGCATGAGGCGCAACGCGCAACCCTATAAAGCAGCTAAAGCGGATGCTGTAACTATAACAGAATGTAAGCAATCACAGCAACAGTTAACTAATGTGGGTATACAAACCTCTTTGATGTTATCTTCCAACTTGAGATTTCTCTGAATGCTGATGCACAACATTAACTTTAACTCTACTCTACTTTACTTTACAGTGGACTTGGCGCTGTCAGAGCTTCAGCCTCCTGTCAATCCCAGCATCCCACTGGACACGTGTTGTGCAGGTGAGCATATGTGTGATCAAATATCTTTAGTGGTAAAACTTGGTGGGAAATCTGGGCAGGATGTGCCACTATGGTCCATACTCACTCTCGGAAGTACCTGCATTGCTCTGTAAACATTTTACCACCATGTTTTTTTTTTACCAGTTTTTACCATTATGTGGCACATAAAACTGAATACAGCTGCCAAAACCAGTGTGTAATAGCCGATGTGTGCAGCATAGCATGTTGATATTTTGTGTGATGCTTACCTAAAAGCATTGCTGCTGTTGCCATCTTGGTTGCAGAGTATGAAGTTATTGATTTTGATTTTCCTGAATTACTGGAATCCAGGAATTATCTGGGGTTAATGCTCTCTCTCTCTCCCTCTCCCTCTCTCTCTCTCTCTCTCTCTCTCTCTCTCTCTCTCTCATATTATCTTCTGTCAGTCTCAGCTGTTGAGCATCCAGTAATGACAATGTCTAAATGAATAAATCAACTAAAATGAAATATGCACAACACACCAAATAAACAACTGCAGGAAGCCTTAGTCATGAAGCTGTTTACAAATATGAGCATGAATTCAACAGTAGGAGATCCCCACAAAAATTTGGAAAACTACTCTACAGTTAGTCATTTTTTAAAATTATTAATTATTATTATTAATTTCACATGTCAGTTATTAGGCCTTACACAGGAGAGTTACTGTAAGACAGGAGCTGAACTGAAAACAGACAACCAGAATGAACTAGATGTGCCCGGAGAGCTACGCCTCAGAAATGTTTAATACTCCACCAGCAAGAACGATCAATATGTTTCTACAGAGGAGATTCCAAGGGAAGAGACTGGCAGCTTGAGCAGATACTGTAAGCCCCAAACTGATCCTGCTCACGCAGTTTGATGAGCTTGAAGCATCAATGTAATGGGCACAGGGAAGGAAATTAGCACTTCTGTGTGTATATTTAGTTTGTTGCCGTGGTGAAACTTTTGCCTATTTTGCAAAAAAAAAACTTCCCGAGTTAGTAAGCAGCCATAATATACTGTAACTTAATACTAACTAAAATATATTATATAGATTATAATTAAGCTGTTGCAATGGCTGTCTTTGCTTTGCTGAGGACAGTTGGCAGTGCAGTAGGCAAACCAACTTACATCTTTCCCCTTAGTGTAATTTTACCCCTGCAACTGATGACAGCTTTAATTAATAAAAGCTTAAATCCCAATGATGACTGAATGTTTGTTCTGGTCTTTGCAGGCGGGTCAGTCTGATTTAGCTCTAGTGGTTCAAATAATGACAGCTCTGCACTACTATTTTGAGAATCATGAATGAAAACAGTATGATCTCTGAAAAAAGACTGTACATTATGTTCATGTAAGGTAAAAGGAAACTGTCACCACTTTAAGTAATCATCCAGTCTCTTTGTCACTCTGCCGCTGACAGCTATTGTTAATGGAGTGGGGCCATTCAGGGTCTGAGAGTGTGTCTTTGTGAGCTGAGATCAGCAGTTAACCTTAGTTAACCTCACAACAGTAAAGTGACTTTCCTCCCGTGCCTGACCTCTCCACCTCCCACCACAACACTCGGGTCAGTTAATAATTTTCCCTGTGGAAACATGAAGGCGATTCATCAGCTGTAAAAGCTGTATTTAATAACCGATACCGGGCCGGTGCAGAGAAGATTAGTGTTAACAGAACAAAAAAGCAAGTGGGGAGGTGATAATGAGAACTGGGAGGAGGAGAGAGACACAACTTGAGAAAAGGTTCATACATTTTTATCGCATTTTAAAGATAAATCTATTGCTTGCTTTCCCCAAATGTGGTAGCCTGAGGGGTAGAAAATTAATGCTGGAGTCCAGGCTGCTCAGCCTGATGTGCTGTGTGGATTCTTCCATGCAAAACATAACACAAATGACTTTGCTGCTATGTTGCTGTCATTTAGTTGTTGCTGTCAAGCACAACAGGAGCACTTAATACTTCAGAATTTAGCTAGAAATAATATTTTGATCAATCATAATCAATATCAAAGAAGAAACCATGCTGTTGTCATTATTCTTTTATTTATACTTTTATTAAAACATCATTGGCCTCCAACAAGTAAAGAATGTACATAATAATAATAATAATGATAATAATAATAATAGTAGTAATAATAATAATAATAATACTTAACTGAATAACATCAGAAAAAGTATTTTTGTTTGTATGTTATTGTATTTATCTTTTTTCTTTTGTCAATTCTTCAGTGAGGCGTTCGCTGGATCTCTGCATTCTTTGACTTCAAGGCTTGAGCTAGTTTTAGAGGAATGTACAGTACAAGAAACAAAAAGTATCTTTCCCCCATCATCTTGTTTTTTTTTTTTTCTGACATCACTACATATTTTGTCTCATTTGCAATTCATGACACACATGGACACTCACATCTCTTCCAAAACGGTTTGAAATAACCGAAGCCTCCTGTGGCGAACACACACGCTTTCCGGCATACATACTCTATAGACTAGTGTGCGTGCACATAGACACACACACACACACACACACACACACACACACACACACACACACACACACACACAGAGTAAAACACACGCTTGAATGCCTGCAGTGGATGCTTTAGTGCTGAGCTCCGGTGCTTTAATCAGACCTTTGGTCGTAAAGCGTCACACTGACCGAGGCAGCAACTTCCACCGAGCATCTTTCTCAGCAGAACCAACACACAAGGAAAAGCATTCGTCTGCCACCAGCCTTGCTCTAGCACAGCACAGATAGCCCCTCTTGACTGACCCTTGTCACTCTCTGCTCCTCCTCTCCATCAGTGCTTCACATTGAGTGGTATGTCCTTTGGTGCTGGAATTCAAAGGAAATGCCACAGATGCACTGTTGAAAAAGTGACCTTTAAAAAAAATACAAGATACTCACCGGGGGGTGGGGGGACTGGGCTGCACACTGTGGAGATTGTCTCTTAATAAAGTCTGAACTTTTAAAACATTTGAAACAATTAAAAACACAATAGCACGATAAAAACGCTTGACTTCATTTTAAAGTCTGCTCGCTGCACTCAGTCAAGTGTAGGTTTACAGTATGTTCTGACAGGCAGGTGATGCTGAAAATCTCTTTTATGGTTTCACAGTTGTTCATGTGGGCTTGACAAGAGCAGAATATCATCCTGTCATGCAGCTGATTTCTCTATCTACCTTCCCTCCTGGAGAATTTCATAAAAAGCAGTCAGTTTCTAATGGTGCCGAGTCCAGCGCTGGCGGTCATGTGTCGATGACGTCCTGCGCTGGCGAAGGTTCATGTGGCAAACTGGTGGCATTGGGCAGCGGCTGCGTGTGGCTGACAGAGTTCTGCTGCAGCTCTAGCGCCATGGCGTTCTGTGGGTGGGGGAACTCCTTCACCTGTCTGCGGTACTCCAGNGTGGGGGGGCTAGACCAACTGTCCATTTTACAGAACATAATGTCACTGGGCTGCACACTGTGGAGATTGTCTCTTAATAAAGTCTGAACTTTTAAAACATTTGAAACAATTAAAAACACAATAGCACGATAAAAACGCTTGACTTCATTTTAAAGTCTGCTCGCTGCACTCAGTCAAGTGTAGGTTTACAGTATGTTCTGACAGGCAGGTGATGCTGAAAATCTCTTTTATGGTTTCACAGTTGTTCATGTGGGCTTGACAAGAGCAGAATATCATCCTGTCATGCAGCTGATTTCTCTATCTACCTTCCCTCCTGGAGAATTTCATAAAAAGCAGTCAGTTTCTAATGGTGCCGAGTCCAGCGCTGGCGGTCATGTGTCGATGACGTCCTGCGCTGGCGAAGGTTCATGTGGCAAACTGGTGGCATTGGGCAGCGGCTGCGTGTGGCTGACAGAGTTCTGCTGCAGCTCTAGCGCCATGGCGTTCTGTGGGTGGGGGAACTCCTTCACCTGTCTGCGGTACTCCAGGAAGGTGGACGCCTTGGTGGCGATGGCCACCACGTTCTTGCCGACAAAGATGGTAGAAACACGGCTGTCCTGAAACAACACCATGTTTACACCACGTATAAGGATGGTGACCACGTTTATGGTGACCAGACTCAGGACCGGGTACAGCATCATCTTCTGGGGCGACATGTGCTCTCCCTGCATGCTGATTTCACTGAGCGACACGCAGGGCAGGATGAGCAGCAGGATGTAGCAGTAGAAGAACATGAGGCCCTCGGCCCAGATGGGCAGGCCTGTCCGCTGGGGCTCCCACAGGTTAGCTTGGATATCTAGCAGGTCCAACAGGTCCAGAGCCACCCAGAACAGACGGCTCCTCATGTCCTCCTTCTTTCGGAAAGTTCTTACATATTCCATGCTATCCAGAGCCACTAGAACCAGGTACAAACCTGGTACACACACGGATAATAATAACGTCAAAGCCTTCCGTGCCACTGTCTCCAGACTTTTCCTGTCAGCTTTGCAATTCTGGAAGACAAAATAGAGTTTGATCTCCAGAACAAAGATGTACAGAAACCACAGGATCATGGCGTATCCTCGGCGGGCGGTGCGCACCTCGGCACCGACCCACACTGCCACATATCGCAGCACTATGAGGAAGCATACGTCCCCTACCAGCACTATAATACACACACCGATCTTTCTGGGACCCTGGTTCTGCTCCACCAGGTAGGCGTCCATGAAGGCCATACTGGTCATGATGACGATGGTGGTCAGGCACACATGGCGTTTGTCTGGGGGCGGCAACACCATGGCGAGGGCACCTGCTGGCTCTCACTCTCTCTCCACAGCTTTCAAAAGTAAAAATAAAATGGTCCAGAAGGTAAACGCAGTGCTGTGTCCGCTCCAAACCTTTATGGTTGGAGGAAAAAGGGTATTTAAGGTGGTCTGACAGCTCTGGTGTGCACAGGAGCAAAAGTCCAGCAACAGTGTATCTTATATTAAAATGATACTATAAGTCACACACTAATAGTCCATTGAGGAGGACGGTTATTGTAGCGTAGAAGCAGAGCTGTGTGTGGAGTCAGCGCAGAGATGCTGGCTGCTGATTGCTCTCAGACCATGTGAAAACAGGAACATCACCTCGTTACTCAGCGCACTTCCATTGATCCAGCTCTGCCCCTGAGCAGCAGCTACACTGAGGGCTCTACAGCTGACACACCATGACTGATAGTAATCCACACACAGTCAAATGGAGAATACTCTCAGAGTGGGTTTGGTCTAATGGACATGTGATGGGATTGCGGGACACGGTGCTGCAGTGTGGAAATGTTTATGGAGGTGTTTAGTCTTGGATGAGACAGTGTAGGAAGCAACAGTGTGGCTTGCGGATGTATGCGTGTGTAAGCCTGTGTTGCTGCTCAGCATGTGCCAGGAATTCCTCTTTGGGTACTCCTGTAGATGGTGGTGCAGTGTGTGTGGCTCCTTGCAGTCCTGCAGTGTGTGTGAAGGGAAACGAAGGAGAGAGAGGAGAGGAGTCTGCAGTGGCCAGAGGCCTCCAGTCGCCATAAATCACAGAGACAGCAGGTCACTGGCCCATGAGGCCTTGCGTCCAACGACGGCTTCCCCGGGGGGAGGCTCTTACACAGGTCTGAAGATCCATCCTTTCTCCCTCCTCTTGCCACGTGCTGGCCTCTCCACAGCCTAGAGGAAGGAGAAATAAAGAAGAGAAGAGGGGGAGGGCAGAGGAGAAGGAGAAAGAAACCTGTCAGCACTACTGGGCCATATAACACAGTTTTCATTGCAGTCCTCCACATATGAGGAGACAAGTAATGTGTGAGCTTGGCTCAAACAGCCTATTTCACTGTAGATAGGATAGAACGTATTGCACATGTTACAATAAGACTGCTTCAGGATGTCATTACCTCTCCATTGTATGTGAAGCGCCTCAAGACATCTGGATGCATGCTTAATATGCTCAGATGATAATGTTATTGTATTCAACATATTTGGGGCCAGAATAACCACTAGTTTAATTTGAGGAGTTGAATTAATAGAGGATTTATTACAAGAAATTGCAGAAACCAATTTTAAAGTCTCATATAGTAGCAAAGGGCTCAGCACCTCTCTTTTTTTTCTTGCATTACTTGGCACTACATTTTCTTCTTAAGCCAGGGTAAATGAGAAAAATGATGGCAATGGGTTCATTTCCTGCAGGTATTGTGAGTTGGTTTGGTGTAGTTTCCAACTGAAACAAGGAAATCATGATTTACTGAAGGATTATAGGACACTGCTAAAGTTTTCTTGCGTTGCATCTGCAGCACAGAAAACAAAGCTACATTTCAACTATCATGTGTCTCCTTCTTGCGTGCTCAGTGTCTCAAATTTGTCGGAACTGTGTATTGATAATGATAAGCTTGTCCACATTTTATTTTCCTCAGTTCAGGCTTCATCATGCAGTCTGCAATTACAGCCTATTTTCGCAGAATGAAGATTCAGTTTTGACCTCTTTTTCATTCCACCTGATGTGTGTGTTGAGGCGTGTGACAGGTTGGGTCAGAGAGGGGCTATCATCAGCGGTCCTGTTGGATGTTTACATCATTTTATTAAAGGGAAAAAAAAAAAAACCCTGTGCAGATGCCGAGAGCTTAACTTTCCAGCAGGAGCCCACCGTGTAACAAATAACAGCATGTCTAAATATTAGCATGGAGAGAAAACAAATCCGAAGAAAGAAAAAGGGAAATGAAATGTGTTAATTGAGCAGAAACGTTGCCCTCAGTTCAAGTTTGGTTAGCTTCCGCAGAAACTAGAATTTATCTGTCGTTCTGTTCGTTTTCTGTCTGCTCCTCCTGTCACTGGATCCTTCAGGCAGAACACGAATAAATCACATTAGTGTTTCTGTCAGCTGAGGTACATCTCAAGTCAAGATATGACTGTATCATTCAGGAAGCCCTGCCAGTGCTTGTATAGATAAAGTAAGCAAATGACCATGATACTAATGTCTAATGTAGACATCACAAAATAGTTCACTTCACCATGCAAGTATTGGACAAGTTTTGACCTGATGCTGGTCCTTAAAGAACAATGAAGAGGATCTGTGAAGTGATTACAATTCATCCTGAGGGGACCATGAATGGGGTTAGGGTTAATGTCACCTTTATCTGCAACCCACCCGATAACTGGGATATTTCACTCAAAAAACACAAATGATCTAACTCATGGTGGTGCTAGAGAAAAAGCCAGGAAACCATGAGACCCAGTGGGATTCATCTTCTGAGGAACACAAATGTTTGTACAAAATTTCATGGCAATCCATCTAATATTTGTTGTGACATTATTAAGTGGTGGATTGAGCAACCAACAGACTGACAGATCGACATAAGCATTTGTAGAGCCACACTGCTAACGTGGCTAAAAATTCAATATTGATCTTTAATACATGTATCAACAAAGATTAGGCTACTAATGGCTTTATCAATGGTTTATAAATTCTTTACCAATGCTTCATAGATCAGTGCCAGTAATAAGATCAAATCTTGGGTTGTTAATAATAAAGTTATAAATGTTATGTGATCCATTAATAAATTCTCATGGCTTTCTCACTTTCTAAAAACCCTGCAGCTATAAACCTTAGTATATTGTTGATAAACGGCTCTTTGGTCATATTGTTTGTAGCCTTTTCCGGGAAGCAACCAGCCAAAGTGAGTTTTTACAATCTGATAACCCAGAAGTTGTTCTTATTAATGGCTGTAACTGATCTATAAAGCATTAGCAAACGATTTACTAACCATTGATAGAGCCATCAATTAATTTTATAACGGGTGCCTCAGTAAAAGGTGGTTCAGAGGTCGCAAAAAACATTAGCAAAACAGGGAATGTCACAACCTTACCTTTGTCATCAATACTGTTTTTAACAACAACTGAAGGCCAAAGCTTAAATGTGTGCTCTTGCCATTTACTGAACTTTTAAGCAAAACAATTGCAAACCTTTTAGTGATATTGATTTGCTTCATTTTAGGCCAATCCAGACATGCATTAGAAATTATTCCACCACTATGCTTACTTTTCTAAGTCAAACATTTATATTTCACTCCTATTTTGACTAAGTGAGCTCTTGATATGACAAATTTAAGTATGCGATAAATAAACATGAGTTTGTTTTCAGCAGTACTGTGTAAAATCACCACAGCAAAATGGGCTTGAATGGGGTTCAGAGATTATGGAGAGGTTATTTTTCATCAGAAAATACCACCCCTGAAGAACATGAACTGTATGTACATCCATAGGATGTGTGTAGGTCCAAATTAAAACACCTACCAATGCATGCACAGCAGAATTAGGAGATTACCCATTGATTATTAACATTAATAAAACAACACTTGCTTACACTTGGTTTTGGCTAAATCTTAAATTGAGCCCCCAAGACACATTGAGATTTCAGGCGCTACAAACCCAAGAACTGAACCCCCAAAAGTGTCCCCTCTGCCAGCTAGTCCTCAGACTTTCTGATCAAACAACACCCAGTACTGTTCAACCTCCCGGCACTGTTTTCCAACACTAATCAGAGAAAACCAAATTATTTAATTAACAAAAGATGCCTATCTGGAACATTGTAAGAATCAAACCAAAACTCAAAACAAACTTAATTGCTATTTGGCGCCTAAACCATGAATATAAATTGGCAGAGTATCTCTTCGCTGTCAGACATACTAAGCAGAGACAGACTGAGTGACCACAGTCTGAGCACAGAGAAGGACGACACAAGAAGTCCTGGCCATCAACAGAGGAAAGTGTCTGTGGTCACTGCACGACAGGTGCAGTACAGACAGAGACACACTTCTTCTTAAAATGTGACAAATATAATATCAAAGATATTTTAAGAAGTTCGATTTGTTAATCCCAAATTTCACAGAGCCAGACGACAGTGAAAAGCAACAGATTTTATTAGCAGAGCGACGTGCAGCGTATTTAGCTGCACAATATGTGACTGCATGTCATAAACTGAGAGACACATCATTAAAACAGCATCGCTGAATGTGACAAATAATCATCTTGACTTAGTCAATCAAACATATGGAACGCACGCACACACACACGCACACACACGCACACACACACACACACACACACACACACACACACGCACACAAACACTATTTATTTTACTGAAATATTTTTTTTCTCATCTCATTATTATCCTTAACACTGGAAATATTGTGCACTTGACATTCCAGCCAATAAAATATATGAATTTGAAATGGAATTGAATTAATATACAGAAAAAACCCAGCTTTAACAACTCCCTTCAAGAATTTCACTGGATGCATTGTGCATTGTCTTTGCAAAGCAAAATAACATGTTACATCTAATAACATCTCAAATCCCAGGTTGTCAGTGGAAGCCCAGTTTAAGAGGAGCATGACACCACAATGAGTCTCATTTGTAATCCAAGCATGGATTTCAATGTTTAAAACCCATTATGTAGAACAGGGCCTAAGTAAGAGATTAAATTCATAAGATGGTGATTAATTGACTGATTAGCAGAATGCTGTGGATCATTAACATGCTATAGGGAAGAGTTCTGCCACATATACAGTACATCACATCATCATTTAAACGTCATTAATTATCAAAAAAGACTTTGAGATTGTTTCCCTAATGAACGGATTACAGCCGGCGTGATTATATGAGTGCGCTAAATTGGATGGTTTGAACCTCCCAGGAATTATGACTTCTGCAGCGAAACATGGATCCCAAGATGTCATCGGCCTGATTCGATGCCTTTATGAAACAGGAAGCTGATGAAATTTGAC